AGAGCACAGAGAAGCTGTGTTCCAGATGCAACCAAAACTGTGCCTCACTCTGGAAGATGAACTTGGTAGTGTAAGAATCACCTGTTCAGTCCTGGTTTTGAAGGCATGAATGGGTAATGGAGAGCAGGTGGCAATTAAAGTCTCAGAATCGAAGAGGTCAGACAAGGAAGTTGAGGCTTGGTACCAGGAAGAGAGCCTATATGAGGCTATTAGTGAAGGTGCAGTCCAGCTGCAGCAGAAGATCCCAGCATCTTGGAGATGCCAGTACCATGGATGAGCACCAAGAACAGCACCAGCAGTGGAGTGGAGACAGCTAGAAGCTGTAAGACAAGCTGTGTGTGCTGAGAGCAGAGCCTCAACCCAAACCACTAGGATGAACCCAGAAGACCACGAGTGAATCCGACTTATTTACACTCTTGGAGTTGAGTTTTGCTTTTATTTGATGGTGACTGTGCACTGGTTCTTCCCTCTTGAAATAAGGAAGTATTTAATTTTATTTCAATTTTACAGGCACTCACAGCTGAGAGACTGAATTTTTAAAAAGAGATTTTAGTTTTTAAGAAAGACTTTGGATTTTTAAAGAGACTGGATTTTAATGTGTTTGAATCTGTAAAGCCTTGGGGTTTTATACTATAATGTCAATATTAATGTGTGATCTTGGGGATGGCAAAGAAAGGAAAGGCTGTGACTTTCTAATGAGGTATTTGTGTGTCAGGTTGACAAGAGGTCAGCTGTGCTGGCTACTTTTATGTCGACTTGACACAAGCTTCTGTTTTGGCTTTTTGAGACAGGGTTTCTCTATAGTTTTTGGAGCCTATCCTGGCACTAGCTCTTGTAGACCAGACTGGCCTCAAACTCAGAGAGATCTGCCTGCTTCTGCCTCCCGAATGCTGGGATTAAGGCATACACAACCGCTGCCTGACTTGACACAAGCTTCTTAAGAGAATGGAGCCTCAATTAAGAAAATGCCTCCATAAAATCAATCTTAGTTGTTGATGTGGGACTGCCCAGTCCATTGTGGGTGGGGCCATCACTGGACTGTGGTCCTGGGTTCTATAAGAAATCAGGCTGAGCAAGCCATGGGGAGCAAGCCAGTAAGCAGCACTCCTCCATGGCCTGTTATCAGCTTCTGCTTCCAGATTCCTGCCCTGTTTGAGTTCCTGTCCTGTCTTTCTTTGATGATGAACAATGATGTGGACATGTGAACCAAGTAAACCCTTTCTCCCTAGCTTGTGTTTTGGTCATGGTGTTTCATGGCAGCAGAAGAAACTCTAATGACAGTAGGTGAGTTGACATCACTGCCTTGTAGCTTTGAAGACCGTTTGCTTTATATTTTTGACATCTTGATTACAAAAATGTAAAAGTTCTCTGGTTATGTCTATTTTGGATTTTATATTCTTTCTTATATTTGAATATTTTTTTCTTTCTTTTCTAGGTTTGAAGAAATTACGGCCCTAATTTTCTTAAATTGATTCTCTCTGCTTTCACAGTTGATCTCAGCTCCTTCCTTTGTCTTATGGATTCTTAGGTTTGATCTTTTGATATTTTAGTTGTTTTTTTTTTTTGGAGACAGGGTTTCTCTGTGGTTTTGGAGCCTGTCCCGGAACTAGCTCTTGTAGACCAGGCTGGCCTCGAACTCCCAGAGATCCGCCTGCCTCTGCCTGTGCTGGGATTAAAGGCATGCGCCACCACCGCCCGGCTTAGAGTTCTTGAATGTTGGGTTCCTTGCTGATATTTAAATGCTGTCTTCCATTAATCCTGTGCTTTCTTGATGGTATTTTTTCTTCTACTCTGTTCATGTCACTTTCTATGGTGTCTTTTTCTGTTGGCTTTGCTTTTAGATTTTTAGTTTACAAACCCTTAGATTCATTTATTTAATGTGCATGAATGTTTTGCTTGCATGTATGTACACGTGTCCATGAAGGAAGGAGAGAAGTTGGACCAGATGGAACTGGAATTATGGTTTGAAGCCTCCATATGGGTGCTGGAAATGGAACCCAGGTCCTCAGTAAGAGCAGCAAGTACTCAAAACTGCTGAGCCATCTCTACAGCCACAGATTTTATTTTTACATTTAAACAAGGATGATGGATACTCTTGGTTGTCTGTCATCTTGACTGCAAATGGAATTAACTGAAATCAAGTACCTGTGCGGGTTTTTGTTTTTTCTTTAAATCTCAATTAAATCACTAGAGGTTGAAAGACCCACTTTTAATCTAAGTCTTTTTGAAGATTGATATAACTTCAATCTGGGCCACACTTTCCAGTGGAAACCAGTATAAAAGACATGGAAGAAAGAAGGGCTTGTTCTTTGTTTGCCCTTGCTCTTGCTGGCAAGTTCATTCCCTCACTGTCATTAGAGTGTACTTCTTCAGGATTCTGACATGTACTGAAGACCAGCTGAGACATCCATCCAGCCTTTTGAGCTGAACAACTACTGGATTCTTGGACTTTCCATTGGTAGGCAGACATTGCTAGATTAGCTGGAACACAACCTGCATGTTAGTCCAATAAACCATATATATGTTCATTCTTTAAGTTCTGTTCCTCAGGAGAAACCTAATACTATACATGTATAAGTGTTTGAGTGTAAACCTCAAAGGTATTGGGTCCCTTGGACTTGGAGTTATGGGAAGTTTTGAGCTGACATGGGTACTGAGAACTGAACTCAGATCTTCTGCAAGAGTAGTATTTGGTCTTATATGCTGAATCATCTTTCCATCCACTCCATTACTTTTCATTTTCAACTTTGTTTTTCGTTTTCAATATTTTTCTTTTAAAAAAAAAACCTCACTTTCCTTGTTGAATTTTTTTTAAGTTGCTCATGTTTTTCATCCACTCTTTTTCCCGTGTTGCTGATTTTGCTCTCTAGCGTCTGTATTTAATTTGCTTGTTTGTGTCCTCATTCAGGTCACTGACACTTTTTCCCAGAAAAGTTTTGACCTTGTCAGCTGGCATTTTACCCATGCCCATGTCTGTAAGTTCAGCACTTGTGGAATCATTTTTGCCTTGCCTTTTCATTTTTTGTTTCTGTGTTGTAATTTTTGCATCTGTTTTCTTTATCTCTTCTGTTTTTTTGGGGGGGGGATTTTCTTACTGGGCAGCTTTTTCTAGTACCATGCAGAGGATGAAGCAAACTTTTGGGGCACAGTGTTCTGTATTTTTTTTTATCCTGGCTCTCATAGAAGTAGCCTTTAACCCACTATTTTATCTGGAAGTTCAGAAATAAGCCTTTACATTACTAAGTACCAAGGAATTAAAATGCCACAAAGTATGTATCTACTCTGAACATGGTTTCTAGGTGTGGCAGTAGAATTATATCCTTTACCACTTATGCACAACTGCTCCCATGAGACCTCACTTCTAGGACTCCCCAGTTACCTCACTGCCCCCTTGTGGGAGAATACAATTGAAAAACAATGATTCAATATTGTGAATTATCCACAGTGTAAACAAGACTGGGTTTGCGCGATAGCTCAGTCAGTAAAGTGCTAGCTTAGTGAGCATTCAGTTCTGAGTTTAATCTCCTGAAGCCACATTTGAAAAAGCTGGGCCGAGTGGCATGATGCGACTCCCTAGGCAGAAAGTCTAGAAGTCAGAGGTGCTGGAGGACACCAGGAAAACAAGGCCTTCTAAATCAACACGGTGAGCACACATGTAAACTCAGAGAGATCAAGGCAGCATGCACAGGGCCTGCATGGGTTGGCAACAGATAGGAGACAAACCCCCACATCCCTAAATTTCTTATTTAGTAAAGTATGTTGGTCTTCTAGTCCTGTTAATAATACCATTTCAATTTTAAAGCCATATAAAACATTTTTTTAAAATGTCTTCATATTGTTTCGGTTAATGAGGTACATTTGAACATTTTTACTGTTTAAAACAACAAAATAGGGGCGGAAGTGAAGTGACTGGATATGCGGCACCATGGCTCCAGGATTTCCATGACCACGGCATGGCGGGATATCTGGGAGTTTTGATGAGGGTCCAGTGTTGATGATGTACCAGAAGCCAGAGAGAGATCTTGAACCAGACCAACAACTTATCACAATAAACATCTAAAGTAAAGTGGAACAGACAAAAGGATATACTGCAAGACACACCACAAGCTTCCAGTGCCACTAAGATGAATGAAAAGGTATTGGAGAGGCGGGAAAGGTGAAGGAAGAACTGGGCTTGCTTTCTAAAATAGTTTAAAATTTTCCTTTTGGGGGGCACTACAGCAGTGAGGAGCAGACATGGAGGGGCTGGGAAATGAATGGGATTGGGTTACATGATGTAAAATTCCCAAAGAATCAATAAGAAAATTATGTTAAAAAAAAAAAAACCTGTAACAGTCATTCTCAGAAACATCGCATTTAAGTGTATTTGATGTGTTCATTACATTTGGATGAATAATAAAAATTTAACTGTATGTGTATATATCTTTACTTATTTCAATTATTTTTATTCCTATCTGTAGTTGTTTAAAATAAAGTGGGGGGGGGGGATGGCCCCAAAAGGCGTGTCATTATTGGGAGGTGTGGCCATGTTGAAGTAGGTGTAGTCTTGTTGGAGGAAGTATGTTACTATGGGAACAGGTTTTACAGTCTCTTTTGCTCATGCTTTGCTCAGGCTGAGTCTCAGTCTACTTCCTGCTGCCTGCATCAACACATAGCAGCTATCTCTCCAGCACCATGTCCGTTTGTACACGGCCATGTCCCACCATGATGATAATGGACGGAACCTCTGAACAGTCAGCGAGTCACCACAATTAAGTGCTTTCTTTGGAAGAGTTGCGATGTTCATGGTGTCTCTTTGCAGAAATAGAAACCCCAAGTCACCATTGTTAATGATTACCCATTAAATAAAAAAAAAAAAAATTGCAGAAAAGAATGAGAAGGTATTTAAGGAAATTCTCTCTACAACTGGCACAAATATAGAAATTCTGAATTTAAAAATATCACATAATGTAAAATCAACTAAACTGGCAGAAATACTTAATATAAAAGCATGCAAAAAATCACTACATGATTGTTTATTTAAAATATAACTCTGGATGTAAATACATACGGGCTTACATAATATGTGGTTGTGGTTATTCATATAAACCCTCAATTAGAATGCTCAATAGTTCATACCCAAAGCCTTTTGTTTAATACACATGATAAATTTTCTTTCTGATGGAAAGTGTTTAAAGCCTTTTGGATCTTGATTTGTGAAGAGATTACTAAAACATAACTTAGCTACATCAAAGAATAATATTGTTTGCAATGTTGTCACAGATTTCTCCATGGCAAAATAGTCATGTATTGTTATTGCACAATTTATAGGTACAGGTTACTATGTGCATATAAACTCTCTATAATGACAGTGTTCTCACTGTAACTTGCTTACTATACTTAAAATTATGAAATACAATTTACAAAACCTGTAACAATATACTTTTATAATAAAAGTATCCTGAGGATATTACAAAATTCATTTACCAGCCCTTCATTTCTTTGCTTTGACTTTTTAATTCCTAATAGTTTTCCATATTTCCTTACATAAAAAAATGGTCATTTACAGTTCTAACTAAAAATAAATTTAAGCTAAGTAGTATACAACTGTCCCTTAAAACTTATCCCCATCTACTTACTGCCAATCTCACTGGCTAAAAATCAAGTATTTATCAAGTTTTTGTAATTCTGAATCAGAAAAGATATAGCATGAAACAGACAGAAATAGGGTTATCATAGTTATAAGCATTGTAAAATTTATATATTTTGGTCAAATTTTATAATAAAATAATGTATTTTGGCAAAAATAATAAAATATAAGGTTTATTTCCTATCAATGGTAGATCTGCGGGACACTGTACATTTGTAAATACTATTTAATTTGACTGCTTTCACAGTGTTTCTAAAAACACTGCTATACATTTTCAGAATTTTGAGACTAAATTCATCTAAGAAGAAAGAAAACTGAAATTTTAAGTAAAATATCTGATCATCAAAATGATGACAAATTCATAAATGTAAATGTCTGTGTGCCACATAACATCTTTATTGCCTACTAAGACTTATTTAACACTTTTAAAATAGTAATCTTGGAATTCTTCTTAAAAATGACTTTGAAAATTAAAGTGATAATTAAAAAAACTTTATATAAGAAAATCACAAGAAAGGTTTTATACTTGTGGCAGTAGGTGTTATGGCACAAAACACATGAAAAGACTTGTAGCTTCTGTTTGTGTATATACAATATCAAGTAAGATATATATACATATATACACATATGCACAGATATATACATACAATTAAATACATTTACACACACACATCTGGGGCTATAGAAGGGAACGAGGAAAACTCTAATGAACTCCTTGGCTCTTTTACACTGTAAGTCCCAATAGCAGTTTTAATGGAGATATCTTACCTATATATAAACTTCTCACTATTAACAAGAAAAGAATTATGATGTCTGTGTGATAAAGCAGTGAGAGTGTGGTCAATAAGTGATGAGTATTATCTCGGCACCTGTCTTAAAGAGTTTTACTATCAATAGAATTTGTGAAGGGGGTCTGCAGAAGGGTGTGTAACAACGAGAAAACAAAGTTCCTTTAACCCAATGACATATTTACTAAAATATACTATAAATAAGTATGAATACAGCATTATTTATACATTCTAACATTCTATGTTAGGCAATAGGATCTAACTCTGACTCACTTGTTAACTTTTAAGGCATCAGTGCATCAAGGGCAAAGCTCCATAAAATAAATATGAGGACAGAAAGCATTAGCCTATCCTTGGTAAAGGGGATTACTGCGAAATGCATCTGTTGGCTACTTTCACAAAGCAGATAATAAATCATACACCCTCTTGTGAAGATGTTACAGCATCAATTTTACATCATTTTTTAACACCTCATTTAAAGGGCTAAACTGATCCGGCAGTATCCTCATTTTCATTGTTCCATCAGCTCCACAAGAGAAAATGTGATTTGCAGGTCCTGTCTCAATTTGCATGACTCCAGTTCCAATATTCCTAAAAATAGACTGTCGAGCATGTTCATTGATGAAAGTACGGAGAAGACTAAAGGTAGAAAGACTCCAAATCTGAAAGATATGAAGGACGAAATGAAAACTGGGGCTGGTGATTGACTCAAGAATCCAAAAGAAAATGTAAGCCTGCCTTCTTGTGCAGGTAAGACATTTCTACAAGGACGGAGAGTATTTGTATATGCTATGATCACAGCTTCCTAAGTCTCTATAGGCTGTATACAATTATCAACTGCTTTTATTATTATTCAAAGTCCATCCTGGAAGGGCACAAATTATTAACAATTCACTGAAGATTAGACAACCTGAGTACAAAGAACAGAAACTTTCGTCAGTGACTAGAAAGGTTTTGCTGTGTAGCTACTATGGGGTATTACTTCTTTATAATACTGAATACTCAGAGATCAGAAAAGATGCAAGGATGAAAGTAAACTAACATCTATGGCTCTCTACCCTGGTAAAGCTTAGACAAACTCAATTACTAAAATTCTAAAATACTAAATTCTAAAAGTTTCTATTGTAAGCCCCATCAAGACAAATGTGACTGCTTTAAATCAAATGCCAAATGGCTTCTCTTATTAATGACTTGTGTGGAAAGGCTTTCAGGATATATTTTTCTGGTTTGGAGATATCAACTTACTTTTTAATTTTTTATATCTCTTAGGAAAACATCTGAAAAAAAAAAACCCCTCACCAATCCACATTACCTTTACATGAATTTGTTAGATTATACATCTTAAAACACATTGTATCTTTAAAACTTTATCTTTATTTGATGTATATGGGTGACTTACTGCATGTGTATGTGAAATGAGATGTGTGCTTGATGCCTAGGGGGCCAGAAGTTACAAGTGATTGAGAGCTACAAGTGGGTGCTGAGAAACATGGATCCTCTGCAAGAGCAACCTGTGCCTTTTGATCACTGAGCCATTTCTCCAGCCTAGACTATATGTTTTTCAAATATCTTAAAATATAAACTGCAGAATCAGAGAAGAATCTAAAAATAGGTGATCTAAATCAAAGTCTGCCCTACTCTAAAGTCTGTTTGAGGTACACTATGCAGGCACAGGGAAAAAGAAGATAATGCACTCACTAGCTGTGTTACAGCAGGACCACTACATTAGCTGGGACCAACATGGCCAACCCAGATGACAGTTAACTCTGCTTTACTACAATGAGATTTCCAGACCAACAGTGGGCAAAATGGCTTGCTTCCATCACGTATCTGATATCACAACACATCAAAAAAAAAAACCTCCTTAAATACAGAAAAGGGGGGAGAAAACCCTATTCTGGGAAAATCCAGACCCATTCCTGGATTTCCCTGCAGATCACCTCCTGAACAATTCTTTTCCTCCATTAGTTTTCCTCATTATTGAAATTACCCAAAATCCTAGCCATGTGACACTATTTCTTGAGCGTGTACTTTATTACAAAACTTTTTCTCGGTTCTGTGCTTTGTCTTGTCTCTTATTCTTTCTCTGGAGGTGCTAAGCATCTGGATGCAACAGATGGAGGTCTAAATTTGTTCTTTCTGAAACAATGACAACCTTTACCAGCAGCCACAGGTTGAAATAAAAAAGTGGCTTCAACTCAGAGAAGAATAATTCTGCTGGGATTTATTATTTTTAAAAAAAAGTACTTTGGGACCGAGGAGATGACTCATTGATTAAAAGCACTGGCCACTCCTCCAGAGAACATGAGTTTGATTTCTAACACCCATATGATGGTTCACTCTAGTTCCAGGGGACTCAATACTCTCTGATGGGAGCAACAAGCAAGTTATGTGGTGCACTGGCATATGGGCAGACAAAACATCCATTAAACACAAATAACAACATTTCCAAATCCTGCAGTTCTGGGTTTTTTTTGGTGGTGGGAGGAGGGAGAGTTAAGGGGGAAGAAAACAGCCTATCAGTTCTAAGAGAAGTTCATCCTATTTAGCACTAAGTATGCTCACATTCATGTAATGGATTCTAAAAATCAGGTCCTTCAAATCTAGGCTTGCTGACCATTCAACATCCTGAAGACCAATTGAAACTGGCATACCTCTTTGCAATGGGCCCACAGAATCTTCCTCAAAATCAACAGGTATTTCTTAACATAGAACTTCACAGCTGAGTATTTTTAAGGTGGAATCTTGCAATATACATTTTAATAAGTTGTTCAACATTTTTAAATAAGCTGCTTAATAATGCTTTAAACAACTTTAAAATTTAAATACAATAGATTTTGGTTATCTATGAACAGGGCTTATCTAGGTACATTCTTGAACCAGAATTATGGAATCTGAGTTGTTGAATATTATTATTATATATGAAAAAAGAGGAGCAATGTGGGTTATAGTTAACTTAGAAATTTAATTTAGTAAATACATCACCAGAAGAAGAGTTAAAACCAATTCTAATGTCTAAAATATACTAAGATTCACAGAAAATTTGTTTAAGAATTAATTAAGCATTTTTTTAAAACAAGTAAAAAAGTAAAACTTCAAGTTAAAAATAATTCTATTTATCAAAGGGTTTATTAAATAGTAATTAGCACTGCTGACTATAACAGAACTAATATGACTAGTATTTAAGTAAATTACTACAATATGATTAAAGACCTAAGTTTGTAAATTTTTTTCCAATTATTGATACCATGTTTTTACCTTTATATTGCCTTCTGCAGATCCTGTAACAAAGTATTCTTCAGTTGGATCAATAGCAATGGCTTTAACAGGGGAATCATGGCTCTGAAAAAGCTGCCTCTGTTGCCGTTGTCGAAGGTCAAATACACATGTGAAACCTTTTCTGCCACCCGATATTAGCAGCTGATGTTTGGGAGCATATGCTAAGACTGTGGCTCCACTATCATGGCAGGTAAAAGCTGAAGGTTAAAAAAAAAAAAAGATTAAAACCACTTAGTAATAAAAGACCACAAGGTGGTCAAGATTGAATAAATTAAATGAATAAATAAATATTGGCTAAAGATTGCTGTCCCGCCCAAGGCAATTTAAAAACCAAATGCAATATAAGAAATAATTTGAGATACTAGGCATAAGACAACGAAGCATGGTCCTGGAGAAAAGGAAATATGGGTAGCCATAGTATTGTTCCAGCAAACCACCTACAGTTTTGTGGTCAGAACATAAGAAAAGGAAATTCAAGTTGAACTGGACTCAATACTAGCAAACGGTTGAATAGAATCTATTACTAAGTGTAATAATCTATAAACACTTATAAATATTATAAATAAAGCTGCTAAGAAAATTCCTGTTTAAGTCTTTTTGTAGCTTTCATATACTGAAAACAGTACATACAGATGGATCACGCTCAGTCCATGTTTAACGTTATTAAAACTAAGTTTTTGGGGGCTTGGATGGTTCAGCGGTTAAGAGCACTGGCTGTTCTTCCAGAGGTTCAATTCCCAGCAACTACATGATGGCTCACAACCATCTCTAGAGGGAGCTAATGCCCCCTCCTGGCATAAATGCATAATGCAGATAGTGCACTCATAATCATATACATTAAAAAATAATCTTAAAAAACCTAAGTTGTTTTCAAAGTGGTTGTAGCATTTTCTGCTTCTGTCAGCAGTTGCAGTTTCTATACACCGTAACCAACACCTTGAGTCTTTAATTTTGGTCATGTTGGTGTAAATGATAGCTTGCAGCACACTGAATGTGCATTTCCTGATTATCTTGATTTTATGTTTACTTGCCATTTGAATAGTGAGAATGGGATTGTCTAAAAGTCCTTGGAAACATCGTCATTTTGTTTTTAAAAACTGTTTTTTTTTTTTTAGCATTATATGTAAGAATTCATCACCAGACCCAAGCCATGTAGATTTTTTTCCGTTTTCTTCTAGAAGTCTGCATTTTACATGAAGCTTTACAACCCATGCTGAGTTAAATTTTGTGAAAAGTGAAATCTGTGTCAAAGATATGTTAAATTTTGTGAAAAGTGAAATCTCTGTCAAAGATATTTTTGGTTGTTGTTCTATGTCACTATTCAATTGTTTTAGTACTTTATTTAAAAAAACCTTATTTTTCTCCATTGAATTCTTTTGTACATCTATCTGATAAAGTCTATGATATATAAAGTCGCCTATGAGGCTCTCTAGTCTCTCCAATGCTCTTGGTAACTTTTTAAAAGCCACTGTCATGATGTTTGATTATTGCAGCTTTACATTAATTTCTGATTATGTAGGGTGCGTCCACTGAATGTTTTTCTTCAGTATTTTGTTGGTTATTTGCTATTTTCTTATACACTTTAGAATCTGTTTACTGATATGAATAAAAGTTTGACTATATTTCTTCATTAGAATTGTGTTACATCTATAAAGTTAGGAGGAACTGGTATTTTGAACAAAATTAAGTTTTCAAAGCTCTAAATGTAAGTCATTTTCTATATTAATTTAGAGCTTTGAGTTTTTAAATTATATTTGTCCCCTTCTACATATATGTCCTGTGTATATTTTGTCTGACAAATGTCTCAGTAGTTATTTCAGGTGTTATTATGAGAAGACCTTTTAAATTTCAAATTATAGATATTCATTTAGTGCAGAGGACCAACTGGTTTTAGTGTACTGACCTGACACCTTGATGTATTTACCATATTAGCACTAGGTGCTGAGGGTCACACCTAGGAGTGCGCGTATGGTAGACAAACACTCTCCAAATGAACCATATCCCCAGTCCAAGATGTGAAAAGTTGTCTTCAAAACTTACCATGGACTAAACTATTGGCAGGTGCTACTAGAGTATCCCACAGACATATGTTTCTGAGAGGAGAAAAAAAAGGGATTTCTTTTTAACCGACAAAAATTAATAGAATAAAAAATAAGCCAAATATTAAACACTTGAACTTTGTTCAAAAGGTTTATATGTATATATATATATATATATATGTTGTCACACTCAATTTAAAAGCTGTTAACTTACAAAACTGAGTTAAATTTTGATTAGCACATACCTATAAATAATAGTAACTGAAGGCTGACTATAGAAATTGCTTGTGTATTTACTAATTTTTTAATCTACCTGTACCTAACATAGACAATGCTCGTTATTAGGTGGAATCTACTGAACACGGCCAGTCACAGATGAAGCTAGTTTTCAGTGTAGTGTGAAGCTCACATCTGAGTTTCAGAAGCTCAGCAAACTCAGTGTGTCTGGATGGGCTGCATGAGTATATGGAGGGAGAAGACAGAGATGTTCTTATGAACTATAAAGTTGTTCTGAGATTCCTATTTTCTTTTTTCTTTTCCTTTTTGGTTTTTTGAGACAGGGTTTCTCTGTATAGCTTTGGAGCCTGTCCTGGAACTTGCTCTGTAGACCAGGCTGGCTGCAAACTCACAGAGACTGGCCTAGTTTCCTATTTTCTTGTTGTGAAAATGATAATACCTACCTAGTAAGGCCATGACGAAGACTAACCAAGTTAACTAAATAATATGGCCAATAAATAATTGTACCTTTTTCAGCTTCAAGTTTTCTGAATATATAGAAAATACAAAGAAATGTTCATTTTACAAACAACCAAATCCCTTCTCCTAAAGTATCAATATGAGAATATTAAAAATAAGAAAGAATGATTTTCTGTAAGTGGTACTAGAATTTGCCTAGATTTATGCCACTAAGAATGATTTAAATAAGAAATTTTTATGATGAAAATTCTTAGGTCATAATTACTGAGACAAATAAATACACAACAACAAAACAATTTAGTTATCCACACACAACATTTCTGTTTCAGCTCCATCTCTTACCTATTGTCAGTTGAAAGACCAGCTGTAGCTATCAGAGAGGAGGAACTAACGAAGACAAAATCATTGGCTGTTTTGTTATGACACTGCCAAGCCTGGAATGGTTATAAACAATAAATGTTACTGTTGCTAGTAAAATTTCCATAATCAAGTAGATGCATAACTAAAATGTGACCATGCACTTTATGTCTTTAAAAAATAATTTCTATTCTTTTAATCTTCTGAACTTTAAAAAGATTAGAGAATACAATAACTCTCACGATAATTCTCCCCATCTCCTTCTGTAAAAAATACAAACAGTTCATGAACAGTCTTTTTCACTTTAAGAAGAAAACACACAGGTTAAACTTCAAATAGTTACTTAGGTCTAGGTGGTGGGGAAAAAAAAGAACAAAACTGTCTTACAAGAAGACAGATACAAGGATTTAAGATTACGTTAGATGTAAATATCTTTGCTAAAATGATATTAATTGTTCGGAAACATTCAAACTTTTAAATAAAAGTAACTGTTCAAAAGTAATAAAAAGTTACTGTCAAAAATAAGAAAGCTCAGAGAACTTCTGAAAATTCAATCAAACTTATTATGATCATTTCACCAATTAAAAAAAGAAAAGCAGTCGTCTCTCCAAAAGGTCAACTTGCACAGTTCACACTGTAGCCTAATAAAATGATGAGGCAAAGAACAAACTAAGTCTTTTTCAAGAAGTCCTAGCAATGCTCCCTTGTGTTTATTTAGATCAATATTGAACTCAAACATTTAACCTCAGGTGAATTACCAGAATTATAATCTATAACCTTAATCTTTTTCTATGTTTTGCTTATGATGAGTTCTGTAAAGGAAATCAATGAAATATTTTTATTCTCTGAATTCTGCACAGGCTTTAACAGATGAAAACAACAGGATCAGCAGCAGGATGCCCTTTCTACTTTGCTCATTAATAAGAGCTAAATACAGGAAAACAATCTGATATTCTGTTGGTCTGCCAGTCACCTGAGGCTGGGTCTCTGGAGAAACGGTGCTGGGCATGCCAACTTCCTCAATTTCACTCAGTTATTTTTATACACAACAGGAGTAGTCTGTTGTAATATGTGACGAGTAGATAAGACTAGACATATTTTATTTATTAATTGTAATATTACTTGCTCAAGCACAGCTTTGATTTTTAAACATAAAGTCCATGTTTTATATATATATATAAGGAATATTTAACTTACCAGATATGGCTTAGGTATGCTCCCAGTAATTGGACAACATTTCCAGTTTGTTTGGTACAAACTTAAATATCCATCAGCATCAACAATTCCAAACTTTAAAAAAGAAATTAAATGATTAGTGTAAATAAAAGGCACACATTTACTCTTTATACCCAGTGTGACACATTATCTCTATGTTTAACATTGGATTGACCAACTGTTATCTTTTAATTTCACTTAAGCTTCAATCTAGTTTTGAGCTATATTTAGATATCACTTTAAGAAAACTTCCAGTGTATGTAGAAAGAAGCAAACATCAGACACTTGGTTAGTTAAACTTAGACCTCCACATGTTGAGTCATGATATGTGCTTGGCTTCCTCCCACAAAAATAAAGTTCAAAAAAATGTTAAGAAGTTGAAAGATGAAGGCAAAACAAAATTTTAAGGAAAATAATTTGAACTCAATACTCATTTATTCTTACATTAATTAATAAATACTAAGTACTATCAAAATGTAAAATATTTACCAAGTTTTAATAGTTATTTTTTCAATTTTCAGTGATGATTACTGAACATATTAGAGATTTTTGTAAACTTCATATCGCTTATTTACTTCTCTAATGTTTTTTGAGAATTCTGATAGAGCTATTATTAAGTATATTAGCCTACGGCTTTTATATTTGCTATAGATACTTTCCCCACTATCTAATCCTCTTTTCTAGTTTTATGTTTTCTGGAGTAGAGCTAGGTTTGTTCTTCAGCTGGAATAAACATGAATATATACTCAAATAGTGTTAATGAGACACCAAATCTGAAATATAGTCTGGCTGGGCATCAACTTATTTCTCATTCTTTATCTAGCAGAATTCTATGGAAATAGTTCTACTAGTTACAATTTTTTCCCTTTTAATTGGAATTGTTGAGTAAGGTGCACTAATAATTCAAAAGGGAAGGTGGGCAAGCAAGCATTTACAACCCCATTCCTTTCACATTTATAGATTCTTTCTTTATACTTGAAGCAAAGAAAAAAAAATAACCAGGATATGTGCATGTACATTTATCAATATATCTTAGGCAGTCTATTTTGACTATAAAATTATATTCTTTGCATTAAAGAAATATTTTTAATCCTTCAAATACCACTTGCCTCTACTGTTTTGCTTTTGCTAAGGTACTTTCTAGGAGATATTTTCTTAGTTGGTACTTCCTAAACATACAATCACACTTTTAAACTACTTATGTTCACTGCCCCATTTTTGAGAATTAAAATTTTAATTTATAAAAACTATTTCCTGTTCTATGCTATGTCATACTATCCTGTTTTTTTAATATTACTCTTAAGAGTTCCTCATAGCACTTATTAGTCTTATTTTAGTTTTACTGAGATCTTCAGTCTTTTGACTGCCCAATTCTATCTGCAATTCACAATCAAATTGATCACCATAACTGGGACAGATTGAGTCTTCTCTACCACTTACTCAGGATACTTCCTAAATAAAGGAGAAAACATGTTTTGGTGTTGTGCTATTTGGTTACATCATGGGTAAAGTAGGAACACGAAGCTGAGGGGTTTATCAAGACACTTGGTAGGCAAAGAACTAAAGCTTTTGTACTTTAAAACAGACGATATGAAGGACTGTAGCAGTGTTAATGTTGAAATATAAGTCAGACTACGAAATCAAATTGTAGAAAGATTTGAGTGTTATACTGATAAATCTGGGAAGAGGTACCTTGAAGGGTTTCTCAAAAACAAACAAACAAACAAAAGATACTACTTATTCTGTAGGTATTTAATTATGTTGTTCATAATATCACTTTATTTTGGGAAGACAATATATCAAAGGAACTATGGACTGACATGCATAGACTAGAAGCAACGGCACACCGCCAATGAAAATGGAAAACATAATAAATACTGAAAGGGAATACAACTGACAGCCCAAGTCAAATATTCTTATTGCAAATGTTTATACCAGAAAAGTGTGAGATTTTGAAGATATTTTGATGTGCGAATCCCCTCTGTATGCTGTGAATACGATCGGTTAATTAATAAACAGGCTTGGCCCGTTAGCGTAGAGTAGAGTTAGGTGGGGAAAACTAAAATGAATGCTGGGAGAAAGGAGGCAGAATCAGAGAGGCCCTGTATCCCTGCCCGAGACAGACGCTGGAACTTTACTACCAGGTAAGCCACAGCCTCATGGTGATACACAGATTAATAAAAATGGGTTAAATTAATACGTAAGAGTTAGCCAATAAGAAGCTAGAGCTAATGGACCAAGCAGTGATTTAATTAATACAGTTTCTGTGTGGTTATTTCAGGGCTGAGCAGCCGGTACCAAACAAGCAGCCTCCTACAACAGTATTTCTTTTAATAGTTGCACTTACTACACTAATCAAGCACTTATAATCTGAAAATGTTTGAAATCTGAACTTTGTAAGCACCATAACTGAAACTCAGGGAAAAGAAAAGGCAAGAGATACTATTATCTAAGATTGTGTAAACTTTTAGTGAAGCATGATCCAGAAGACAAAACAGTAGGCTAATTTGCCTGTTAATTCCTATAAAAATTCAGGAAAGCAATTTGAAATAAGCAGCAATGTGAGAAGTAACAGACAATACAGGGATGGTTTAGAGGTGGTTTAACAAACTTCTTTAAAAAAAAAAAACAAAACCTAAAGTATTATTTATTCATGTGTATGTGTTTATGTCTGCATATGAAGAGGACAGAAGGGGGCAGGATCCCTTGGAGCTAGAGTTATAGGCAGTTTGAGCTGCCAGATATCTTGGGTCCTCTACAAGAACAGTATGTGCTCTTAACCACTAAGCCATCTCTCAAGCCCCATGAAGGCGTAAGTCACAAACAGTGCCACACCAGTTTGGAATTATGATTAATAGGGTGGTATTTATTTAAAGAGGAAAAAACTTACAGATCACCATCCCAGATAACAGCCCTCTGCGCAACCAGGGAGTCTAGTCACCGGAGGAGCAGGAAATGAAGAGAGAGAGCGGAGGGAGGTAGCCGCTTTTTTAAAGGGAGAGAGACCACGCCCCAGTGGGCTGGTATCTCAGCAGCTATTGGTTGGAGGAGCGGAAGGACCTCCCGCAACAGCCCCATATTATTATTACATATATACATGTATAAATATATAAATGCAACCTGCTGAGTCTGTTTAATGTTGCTGTGTATATATGATTTTAGGGCTGATCATTCTGTAGTGGATAACCAACTACAAGGCTTGTCCCTAGAAGAGAAATTTTCCTACTCTCAGTAGTCATTAGTTGCCTATAGTTCTTTGTCTAGGGGCCCCATGAAATTTTCTGCTTCCTCATTAGTTTGTCTTTTGGTGTTGTCAATGTTTAAGGTACCATGTTGCTTAGCTGTCATGGGTATAGCTTTCCTGTCATTTCTAAGAGAAACCCTCTCACAGTACACCTCCTAGTATCATTTTTCTTAAATATCTTGTAATTAAAGGTTAGCCCACCATAAAGTCTTTGCCTCCTTAACTCTGCTAGATGAAAATTCTCAAAGAAAATATAATGAACAATAGAATTTGGATTCGAAAAAAAGTTCTATAAAAGCTGTGTTGGTAACTAATCCAGTTTGCTGACCTGCCATTCTAGAGCAATATTACTCAGTGTTAAAGTGCATAAAAATCACAATGCAGATGGGTTAAGCAGATGCGACACACCACAAACTGTACTTGCTGCTTGGTACGGAATCATACTATGAGTAGATTCCAGGAACTAAAGAAATGGATTTCACTAATCAAAGAAATATAAGGGAAAACATTGGCCCTAAGGGAACATTTAACTTAATTTTAGTAGTGATATATGTGCACCACAAACCTACAGGAAGAATCAAGTACACTTAAATGTTCTTTGAGAAGAGTTAAAATATTCTTTTCAAACTCTCAAGCTAGTAAATTTATGCACCATCAAGCTTTTTAAAAGAAAAGTAATTAATTTTCAATAGTACCTTATTTCCCTGATAGTTAAATCTCATTCTTGTAATTCTTGGATTGCCACCGGATCGAAAACAGGTTATTTGCTGAGAATGGCCCCATTCAAACATTCTGACACTCCCATCTTGAGCACCTGTCAGATCTGCATTATAAGATGACAAAAATTAAATATTTATTTTAAAAAGTTTTGAAAAAACTTCTTAACCCAATACTGAATTATTCATCAAAGAAGTACCTAGGAAATAAAGTCCATTTATATAAATTTACTTTGAAGGTTTATTTTATATAAAAGTCACATGATGTACTTTCATTTGACTGAGAATATGTTTTCAAACAAAACAGTAGACACATTTATATTAGATCACTATAAATTATGATTCTTCTCAAAATTATCTTAATGTCTTAAGAGTCTAAAGTGTATTTTATAATAAACATTTAATAAATTACTGAGATTAAGAATCAACCTTTATCAGCCATACTATTAATGTTAAAATTATGCATTTTTCTAAGACAAGGTCAGATTTAAATACCATAGTAAAGGAGAAATTTTAATTTTAAAATTATTTTGATGGATTTATTATCTCAAATATATGCTAATGTCTGATAATACTAATTATACTATGGAATAAATAAGTCACTATTTTTTTTTTAAATATTTATTTATTTATTATGTATACAATATTCTTTCTGTGTGTATGCCTGCAGGCCAGAAGAGGGCACCAGACCTCATTACAGATGGTTGTGAGCCACCATGTGGTTGCCGGGAATTGAACTCAGGACCTTTGGAAGAGCAGGCAATGCTCTTAACCACTGAGCCATCTCTCCAGCTCCATAAGTCACTATTTTTGAGAATGACTGAGATCATTTATATACAGCACTCAGAAATATAACAAACGGCACCCAAATTATATTAATTTTAACTGTCAAAATTAGTATAGAATAGGGATAATGAAAATCAGAATAGATAAAATGCCCAGCAAGTTGCTAATTATGCTATTAGTTAAATTTTACTAATACTTTACCAAATATTTAACAGCAATGAATTCAGGCTGTTTTAGAATATTTTGTCGTGTACTAGGCAGGGGTGTGAAGGCGGCAGCACAATGACTTGGGACTCGTTGAGGGGATGTTAACTCTTCTTTTCCTCCCAGGATAGTTGCTTAAAAACGGTTTATGTTTTCCCAATATTATCTATAGTGCCAAAAACACTAATTGGGAAACCTCTAAGCTATAATGGCTCTGGTGGATGAACAAATCTAACTACAACTCACTATAAACAGTAAGACAAAAACCAAAGTTTCAGCTCTAATAAGTAATTAACCACTTCAATGAATCAAATTCCTTTTTGTCTTGCTTCTGCAAACATCTTTAGATTTTTCTCCTACCACCTTAATGTGACAGTTAATCTTTACTGCCTGGGTTTAGATTCACTCAGGAGATCAGTGAGGCACATCTCTGGGTGTGCTTGTGAGAATATTTTTAATTAACTGAAGGATAAAAAAATGTACCACAAATATGGGACGTGACATTTCATGAGCTGGGGAACCATACAGAATAGAAAACTAGCTGAAAAGGACAGCATACCCTATTTCTGTGGTTCTTGGTTGGCTTCCACTGCCCAGATTTCTGTTCAAGTGACAAAGGACTTAAGGCTCTGAAATAATGAGCCAAAATAAATGATTCCTCTCCTCTCAGCTGATCCTCTCAACTATTTATTTGATGGCAGCATTGAGAAGCTAATGAATATCTTGGTAAAGCTTCAAACCACCTATAGGCTAAGTTTCATGAACTTCCTGGTCAATGTTCAGAAAGCCTTCTGAAGGTTCTGCGTCAGAAGGTGGAAAGAGAGAAGATTACTTTATGACAACCCTCAAGAGTAACAAGCAATTGGGCCCAAGTGAGAGAGCCTTCAAGTCACTCCTCCTGTTGCACATTTACAGATTACCACCAAAGCATCACGCTCAGATTTCAGCTCTGCCACCTGATTTGAGCATTTCTTCCCCCAGACTAAGTCTGAAAAATGTACCAGATTGTGTGCAGCAGAGGGTCTCAGGTAGAAGTTAGTCCATAAAATGTGTCAGCTTGTGCTCAGCAAGGGGCCTCAGGTAAATAAAGTCTGAGGTAGAAACAGGATTGTGTGTTCTACTAAACTCAAGTCTATAACTCCTATTATCTCAAACTCTACCTAACTTTAGACATAAACAATACAAACAGAACCTGTGGATTTTTTTTTTTAGAGAAATGAGAAAACCTTACCAAAGATAACTTAAAATTACAGTAGTTACAATGGGGGGTGTTTCAACATCTAGTCAAATTATCTGTCTTTAGGACACAGTGGATTAAAAAAGGATCCCAAATGCCTCAGAAATGGAATGCATCTTCTGACTGACAAGCAGAAGTCACTGGAAAACTAGATGCACCAGTAACAATACTTGTAAGAGCTTCTCTCCCTGTTGTTCTCCTCCTTCCTCCCTCTCTGTGAATGCCTTCCTGTCTGTCTCTGTGTCTATCGATCCCTTCCTACTTCCCTCACCTCTGTGTGTGTACACCAGGGGTCAACTGTAGTATCTTCTTCAAGTGTTCTCCACCATATTTTGAGACAGGGTCTCTCAATGAACCTTGAGCTCAGCAACTACAAGCCTAGCCCGCCAGCAAGCCATGGAGACCTTCTTGTCTCCACCTCCCAGGCTAAGACAGGTCTGTGTCACCATACATAGAATTTTCCATGAGTGTCAGGGATCTGAATTCAGGTCATCATGCTGGCATGACAGCATTTTATGGACTAAACTATCTCCTTGGCCCCAGACATAACCTGTTAGAAGACTGTTCGCAAAAGGCAAATGAGAGAACTGCAAACCACCCCAGCCTTTATAGTGTAGGTTAATCCCCTAAAGATTACAGTCTACTTACAAAACAATTTCTAATCAAGATTTTAGTGATTTTCTATTTGGCACATGGCTAACATATTAAAATCAAACTTGGAAGTACATTATTTGTTACATTTTTCTGCTTCTAAGTGATACTGCCAAAATTATAAGAGCTCTAAACAACCGACTTAAAGAGAAATAGGCTCATAAGTAAATTAAATGTTCCTTAAACTCTTGGAAAGAAGCTAGCCCAAGTGTACTTCAAGCTCACAAGAACTCAAAAAAACTTTTGGTAAATACAAGCTAATTAGGCTTAGGCTTTTTCTTCTGTGCTTCCAGGTAGGAAATGATCCTTCTTCATTCAGCCCATAGGCCTCCTGGTGCCTCCAAGAGTTTATCCTTCTGTGCTGCCTGGTTATCTGACATCATAGCTACTCTGGAATCTCATTTCTACAGTGTCAGGTTACCCAGCTCCTTTAGGATCTTACAGTGTCTCCACAGCTTCTGCCTAGACTGACTTCTCATCCTAAGGCCACTCAGATCTGACTTTACTTCCCCACATAACCAGGTAGGCCCATTCATTTGTATTTCATAGGTCTCTCAACTCCATATCCCTCAAATCATACATGTATAACTCCTGTTTGACTAGAGATGACAAGATAGCATAGGGACATGCTGATCCCTGGATGCTGACTCTTAATTAAGACAATATAAGACTGTCAAAAGACTAGGGATATAACCTGAAGTCTTCAATACAAGCTCCATGGAGGAAAAATTCTCTACATTTTTTTACAACTTAAACCTCTTCTGTACATTGACATACCTCCCCTGGATGAAGATGGGTGATCTGAACTAAAGGGAAGATGTAATTAACAAATTATTCCCAGTGTACAAGTCCCAGTGAAGAAGCAAAACAAATTAGTTATGCTCTCATAACTAATCCTAAAGTAGTGACCTCCAATAAAAATGACCTGGAAGAAACCCCAGAGAACTCATTCAAAGAGTAAGAATATTCAAATAATCCCAAAAGATATGTATATACATTAAAAGAACAAAAATAAAAAGTCACATGAAATGAAGTCAACCCAAGATAAGAAAATAGAATTCTATAATGAGAATTGATCAAGATAACCCAAACTGAAAAGATGAGAGAAATGATAAACTCATTAACCAAAACAAAAACCTCTGTGGAAAGCCTCACCAATGGAAAGGATCACATGGAAAACTATGTTACGGCTGGACGATAAACTAAAAGAATTGGCTCAATGAGTACAGGAAAAAAAAAAAACAAAGAAGAGAGGAGAGGAGAGAGAAGGAAGGAGAAGAAGCAAGAGAAGGAAGAGAAAAAGGAGGCAGAGGAGAAAAAGAGGAGGAGGAGAAAGAGAAGAAAAAAAACGAAAAGAAAAAGAACATGGGGAGAGCTTCGGGACAGTGCCAAAAGACTTTAGGAAGAAAATGTAGACCACATTTGCTGGGTTTGATCATTAACAAAAAATAGGTAGAATATTCGCTCCTATTTATAAGACACAATTAGAAAAACTGGTTATATTACCAAGGTTTTGACTAGAATGTCATACTTGAGAATTCACATAATCAGATATACAGCTTTAAATCATTAAGGTGATTTTATGTGACAAAAAAGCAACTTGAAATAAAACTGGCCTAGCAACATGTACACAGTTTATATCATTCTCTTATATGGTTATCTTACAGCTGAATAAGGACTGTCTATCACTTCTGGAACCCAAGATATTTGGAGATCTTGGGAAAAAAGGAACCCAACTCTAGGGAGACAAAAACTGTTCTTCTGACCTTATCTTAAGTATCTCTTCATCTGTGTTACTTTATAATAACTTTTACAATAAAGTCTCAAACATAAGCCAAGTGTTTCATTGAATTATTCTAGCAGATTAGTCAAACCAAAGGGGAAGGTTGGGAGAACCCCCTGTATAGCCACATGTATAGGGGAAGTGAACTAAGTGAGGCAGAGGACAAGCTTATGTATCTGAGCTCTTGACTTGTGGCTTCTGAATCTAACTGCAGGTAGAGAGTGTCATAAGTTGAATTGAATTAACAGCACACTAAGTTTACCTTCAGAGTGGGATACCTGCCTAGGGTAGGGAAAAGAAAAACCCACACAACTTCCATAAGAAGTGTTGCTGAGAACAATAGAATGTATTTTCTCACTTAGGAAATTATAAAAGCAATTTCTAACAAAAACTCAAAAATAGTGGCTTAGGGTACTGGCAAAGTGGTACAGAGCTTGGCTAGCCCAAGCAAGGGCCTGGCTTTTAGTCCTAGTAATGGTTTGTAATGTTTTTTAAAAGATCTGAAGAGAAGAAAAGGCCTACTGAATTACCTGAGTTTCAGAGTAAGACTTTAAGAAATCTTATTTTGTTGCATTTGCTTATATAATATGCACTTATTCTTGAACTAACTTATTTCTGGGAGAATGTGTTCATGACTAAGAAGAAATCAAATGAGAAAAAATCCAAATAATTTAATTACCTTTAATTTTCTAAGTCTCTTTCTTGTCCATTATGGAAATTCTCTTTTATAAGACAGTGATGATTTTTTCTTACCTAATACTTATAAAAATTGGTTTACTAACAGCTGTGGAAGTTGGGGATATCTTTTTGAATCTGGGACTAAGAACAGTTACTGCCAACTATTAATCTGGTGATTATATGCAATAGAGTTGACAGTACATTAGGTCCCTTCAATATTTCAGGAAGGTTACATACAAACCTTACTGCAGAGGGCAAGAACATTTTTAAGCAATGCCAAATATGTTGCTTGCCAATATTATTTAAACTTTGCACATAAAATACTTTTTTTTTTTTTTTTTTTTTGTGAAAGGGCCTTATTCTGTAGACCTGGGTGTCTCCCAAGTGCTTAAATCTCAGGTATGTGCTACCCACATGCTATGCTAAATGCATACTGACATCTTATTATATACACTTTGATGACTATTTTAGTTCTTTCTTCAAATTCTTTCCTCTTTAAAAAATTTTTTTTGAATTTGTATTTATATGTGTGGATCATGTTAAGGCCAGAAGAGGCTACGGGGTCCCTTGAAGCTCGAGTCACAGGAGGTGGTGAGCCCGACATGGGTGCTGGAAACCAAATTTGATTAAGTCAGCTCCAAAAGTAGCAGGGATTCTTAACTACTGAGCCATTTCTTCAGTTCCAGATACCTATAAAGCTGTAGGAACTCAATGTTAAGGGAGTCAATATAATATTTTATTTCAATCTGTATTTGGTATAAGAAGTCATTCTCTTCATTTAAAAGTTTTTTCAACCTTTTTATTTGACAAAGTATGCAATTTAGATAACATGATTATAGCACACGCTGGAACAGAGGAAAAGAACACATAACTTTGTTAATTTTATTTTAATGGACAATTGTTTATGAGAAAGGCGGCTAAAATTTTTATATATTATTAATTTGTAAAGACATGAATATCTCAATATACTCCTATAACTATTAAGGGAATGACATAAACACAATTTTTAAAACCTAGGATGATTATAAACTAACATATATATTTCAACCATCAGTTAATACTTTCAAAAAATTTTAAAAATTTTTCATTTTATTTTGGCTACAACAAAAGAGACTTGAGATTTCTTCAAATAAGATCTGAAAAAACATATCTCCTACTTTATAAGAATTTACTAATAACTCCTTTTATGACTGCTATTAATGTGCTTGATAAAAGATAAGGTGATAAAATTAGTATAACATAAACTCATCTATGAAAAATAAGTAGGATAAAAATTATCTTTCAATTGAAACTAAAAGTTTCCCATGAATTCCTTATACAATTTATATAAAAAATATAAAAATAAGACAATCATTGTTCATCATTGCCAACTTACAGTAAGGAAGTGTTGGATGTGATGTCATTCTTCTGACATTATTAATGGCTTTCTTAGTCATCTGGTAAAAGAAGAAATATTTTATAGTAACAATAAAAAATAACTAGAACTTCAAGTTGTAGGGCTGTATACATAGTTCAGTCATAGAGCACACCCTAATTATGAGTTATGTTCTGATTTAATCTTCAGCAACACACAGAAACATACACACAGTTCTACCTATCAGTTAGTTAATCAATATCTCCAGCGACTTCCCTTTTTGGCTAAACCAAGAGAAACTTAAACATCAGAATTACTCTACTTTTTTGCCAATTGATTCATTTTAAATCATTTTTTGAAGGATTTGACTATCCTGTTAAATAAGAATGAAACAGCTATGTGAAATTAGAGGGAACTATGGCTGCATGTTAGTTTACATTGTGCATCAATCCTGAGATTGCAACAATCTTAGTTGGTCTTTTGGATTTTAATTGTTTAACTAGTCTAAAGTTGTGGAGATGTGTGGCATTGGTAAGGGTAGCAAAAAAAACAGGCCATCAGAATGGTAGTGACAGGAAGAGAAAGATCCCTGTGGATGTGTTCTAGTCCAGAACAGAAGCTGCTGTTAACAAATACAGTACTGATCACTCAGTAGCAATATAAGATCAATTCTCCAGACAACAAAACCTTGATGCACATATGACTATTACATTAAACCTCACATCTAAATCCCTTTATTTTGTTTGGAGGTAGGGTTGGGAGAGACAATTTTTTTAAAAGGTTTTATTTTATGTTAATTTATGTGCATTTGTGTTTTGCCTGCATTTATGTTTGTGTGAGTATGTTGTATCTCCTGGAACTGAACTTACTTGTGGGCTGCCATGTGGGGTGCTTGGAATAGAACTCGTAGAACTCGGATCTGCTGGAAGAGCAGCCAGTGTCCTTAACCACTGAGCTATCTCATCAGCTACAGAGACAAAATTTTGTTGTATAGCCCAGGCTCACCTGTAACTTGCACATCGTGCATCACCCTCCTGAGTGCTGGGATAATTATAGGCATATCCACCATGTCTACCAAATCCTATGTTCTGAATTAAATATATATATAAAGGTTCTTAGTCTTTCTTTTACCTTTTTGTTTGTGACAAAATTATCACAGAAAAATAATAAAACACAGATAAGTTTTTCTGAAAGCATGTAACAGAAAATAAAGAAACCATTAGTTATTTGAAAAGATTCATATAAAACAAACCACCTTATTTTATTAGTATTTTTCTCTTGAGAGAGGAATAGAGGTAATCATGAATCAGAATGACTTCCAATTAAAAAGCTATTAAGATGGTAATTCCCTATTACTAAAGACAATACCTATACAACTCATTGAACATAAGTAAGTTGACAGCTGGTGCCTACATAGAGCCTTCACCTCTACCGACTAGTGTTCATGGTATGGAGAGTACTTTGCATGGTCTCAGAAGAGAAAGGTAAACTACAACCCACCTACAAACCCTGCTATTTACAATGGTGACATGCCTGCAAGGTGGTTGAAAACCTGAGACTAGATAGGACACGGACCTAGGGAAAACTAAATACAACTATTCTGTCAAAAGAACACAGCAAGAAAATGACTCCTAATGCCATTCTGCTACACTATACTGATGCTATAGATCAGTTCTTTGCTCAGCCAGTATCAGAGCAGCTTTCTTCTGCAGTAGACCCACAAGACAATGTACAGAGTTGGTGCTCTTGGAACACTCAGTACTAAATGAGGGTGTCTCCATCAAACAATAGTTTCTTTTATACAATATATTCTGATTACATTTCCCCCTCCCTTCATGGTGCAGGGGATGCGGAAAGACTGTTAAAGAAACAAGGCTTTGTAGACGTAACAAGACTGACACACATATGACATCAGACTGTGGTAGTATGCATAAGGCCTGCACAAGTCTAAGCCAGAGAGTACACCATTGCTGAGGGAAAGCAGATATAAGCCTCCGTCCCCAACCCAGAAGCTACTTCCAGTTGATAATGACATGTAAAAGAAAATTCAGTTCTGGCCAATGGAGTTTCATGGTATACAAAACCATACTTAAGGGCAGGCCCTATGCTCAGCAGTAGATAGCCAACACAAACCTAACTCAATAGTATTTGGGGGGGGGTATTTTATCTCATTATGCTTTGCCAGAGCATTTTTTTAAACCTCACAGATCTTATATATTGTGATTTCTGATTTTATTTTTATATAACATATTTTATGTTTTCTATATGTGCAAATATGTGTATCTCAGTGTCTGTCTTGTGTTTTATACTTTTTCCTCGACTCTTTTCTCCTGTTTGTTCATTTTGCTCTATCCTGGATTGTTTATTTTTAATTTCATTGTCATTATGATTATTATTCAGATGCTTGTTTGTTTTCTAATGAGAGAGAGAAAGAAAGGGTGTGGACCTGGACTTGAAGAGGAGAGGAGATAGGGGAAGGGAAAATGTAATATCTTTAGTCATCAGAGAAATACAAATTAAAACTACTTGAGATTTCATCTTATCCCTATCAATGAACAAGATTAATAAAACAAGTGAAAGCACACTCTGGAAGGATTCAAGGAAAGGGGAACACTTATTTACTGCTGATGGGAGTGCAAACTGGTATAGAAATCAGTGTGAAATTTCTTGAGGAAGCTGGGAATTGATCTATCTCAAGATCCAGGCTACACCACTCTTGGGCATATACATCCTACTATGGAGATACTTGCTCATCCATGTTCATTGCTGCTCTAATAATAACAATCACAAGTTGAAAAAAGATTAGATGTCCATCAATTAATGAATGCATACTGAAATGTAATATATTTGCAGAATTGAAATATTATCCAGCTGTTTAAGACAAATGATATTAAGAAATTTGCAGGTAAATCAAACTAGAAACAATCATCCTAAATGAGATAGCTCAGATCTCAAAAGATAAATATTGGGCTGGAGAGATGGCTCAGCAGTTAAAAGAACTGGCAGCTCTTCCAGATGTCCTACGTTCAATTCCCAGCAACTATACAACCATCTATAATGAGATCTACTGCCCTCTTCTAGTCCGCAGGCATACATACATGCAAGCAGAACACTGTATACATAATTAATAAAATCTTAAAAAAGGGAGAGATTGCATGTTTTAGCTTATATGTAGATGTTAGATTTTAAGCTTTACATATGCACTTCAATTATAATAACCACAGAGGTTAGGTTGCTCCTAAGAACCAAGGGGGAGGAGATCTTCCAAGGAAAAGGAAATAGAATATAGTGCAATAAAGAGATAAAGAGGAAACTTGAATACATTTAAATGTCAAGAGGGGTGGGAGAGAGGGTAAAGGAGAAAATATGGGGAGGGACAATTAACACTAAAGGCTTTTTAACAGTCATTTGAAAATCTACTACCCAGAAGCTTCCTAAAATGTATAAATATATGAAAGGAATGTAAGTGGAATCACCATATAATAGGGGAAATAATTAGACATCTTATGTCACCAAGTAAACTCCCTAGTAGCAGAAATGTGTTACATCTTGCAAAGATGTTAGCCAAACATATTCCATAGACTCTCTTAATATCACAGACAGTTGTCAAATCTATTAATTACCTTCTACAACCTGATGTTAAGTCTCTAATGCTGAAAACAACACTTACTCGTGTCATCGAACATGGAGAAACTGAACTTGCGCCCAACTAGAAGGTACATTCTTATTGACTACTTATGAGGTACTTTGCATGATACTGGAAGCTAAAAGCAATCATCAACCTCACCCAGCAACAAACCATGTTACCTCCAATGTATCTGCCTATAAGATATACTGGTGCAATATTAAGGGATTAGCTAATCACTTTTGGGTTGGAATTAAAACACTGAGACAAAATAGGTCATGCGCCTATGGAAAAAATTAGTACTATTTATTATTCTGCAGAAGGAACACAACAATAAGATAACTACTAATGGCATATCACTATACCCATAGATCAGTGCCTTGCTCAACTCTCATGAGAGAAGTTTCTGAAGTTGTTTTCTTGCTATAGATGGGAATTAACACAGAAATCCATAAATATACAATGTGTAGAGACTGAGACACTTTGGTGCACTCAGTCCTGAATGGGATGTCTTTATCAAATCTCTCCCCCTTCAAAGCTCAAAGATTTATGTTAGAAGGAGGCAGAAAGATTTTAAGAGCCAAAGGTAGAGGGTAATTCCAAGTATGTAAACAGTGTTTTCTAGACACAACAGGGCTGATACATATATGAACTCACAAAGACTCTTGACAGCACGCATAAGACCTGCACAAGTACAAAACAGACAAAATACTAACATAGGGAAAAAGAAGTTGACACAAAGTCCTACTCCTAGCCAAGAAGTTATTTGCAATTCATTTCTGCTAGCAAAGGGAACAATTAGTTTTCTCCATTGTAATGTGATTGGATTTATCAACCAGACTCCAGGGCAGGCCCAATGCCCAGGTATAGCTGGCCAACATAAAACATATTCCCATCACCAGAAGAACACAGTTCACAGAAACAACCAAGCAGGACTCATTGGGGCTCATAGAGACTGAAGTGTCAACCACAGAGCCTGCATGGGTGTACACCAGGCCCTCTTCATACCTGCTGTAGTTTTTATAGTTTGAGGTTTTGTTGGACTTTTAACAATGGGAGTAGGTGTATCTCTTTTTCCTGCTCTTGGGACCCTTTTCTTCCTACTGGGTTGCCTCATCCAGCCTTGATATGAGGGTTTGTGCCTAGTCTTATTGAATTTTGTTGTACTGAATTGATATCACTGGGGGAAAAAAAACCAGACTCCATTATACAGCTTATGCAGAAATCATCTTTCTGACTATCAACAGATATATGTGTGCCCAGAAGATGAAATATATTCATGAGATAAACATAAAAGCAGTGGGGGAAACACCCATAGCTATTTTTAGGGAAGAAATGTAGTGGCACATGAGAAAATTACAGATAGAAGCAACCGGTCCACAGACAGTGTTTTTTGCTCTGTTTTGGCTCTTTTTTTTTTTAATATCTTATTTTGATTTTCTTCCCTTTCTTTTCTTTTCTTTTTTTTTTTTTTTTGAGAGAGAGCATGAAATTGGGTGGGAAGGGAAACATGAATGATCTGGAAGGAGCTGGAGGAATAGAGAAAATATGATAAAAATACAATGAATGAAATAAAATTCCTAAAAAGCAGCCCTAAAATTTGCATAGGAAGAATATTCAACTGTAAAAGTGCTGAGAGTTGCTGATAGCACTGGCTTTACCAGAGACCACGAGAATATACAGTACATGACAACTGAGAGTTCAAGTGTCAACCTACCAGGTGAATAATTCTCTGATGGAGGAATCTCGTTAAGTAAGGCTTATAGGACCACAGACTCTGGACCGGTTGCTTCTGTCTGTAATTTTCTCATGTGCCACTTCATTTCTTCCCTAAGAATAGCTATGGGTATTTTCCCCACTGCTTTTGCGTTTATCTTGTGAATATATTTCACCTACTGGGCACACATATACCTGTAGATTGTCAAAAAGATATTTCCATATAAGCTGTATAATTTTGATGAACAGAAATAATACTAGAACATTTTTCATAGCTCAGACTGATGTAGGAAAATGACAATATTCTCAGTTACAAAGACAGCTTTTTACACATTTGCTGATTTTAGACTTTAGAACAGATTCAAAATAGGCTAGTTGCCCCTGCAAAATATGCAAAAGGGCAAGTTTCCAGGTGTCTGTTTGTTGAACCAAAGTTAGGCTGATAACATAAAGACCTAACTCCCTGCAGCAATGGACTTTCTGCATGTATTCCTGGTCTTGGTTTGTGATGCAGGATTGAAGGTCCAGAAACTGGAGCTTGTTTAAGCCCTGAATTTCAATGTCACTCTCTGTCTGGGAGCCCTGACCACTGAGAGCTAAGTGCCTTTACTTTAAGTCTGGTCAGCGAGACCTCTCTACCCTAAGAGAAATTTTGCGACTTATCAGATGTTATTAGAATGGGTCGGACCCTGTATATGTAACTCATAATTGTCCAAAGTTAGGGGGCTGAAGGAGGTGCATGTAGAAAGATCTATGTAGACAGAGTTTTGCAAAGGGCTTTGTAAAGAGCTGTGTAGAGCTATGGAGAGAAAGCTATATAAAGAACTGTGCAGAGCTGTGTAGAGAGCTGCTGTGTAAAGAGTCGTGTACAGCTGTGTAGAAGACAGCTATGTACAAGATGAGTAGTCTAGAAGACAGAGCTGTGTAGAGAGATGGAGCAGTAGCTGTGTAAAGACGTGTAAGGAGAGGTATGTAAAAGAGAGACATGTAATGGAAAGATGTGTGTGTAGGAGAGAAGAAATGGAGCTGTTGAGGAAAGATGTATGGATAGAAGACAGCTATGTGTAAAAGAGGTGTATGGAAAATGTAGCTACATGGAGATGTTGAACACTTGTTTCGTTTTTGGCTGCTCAGCCCCAAAATAACCACTCAGAAACTGTATTAATTAAATCACTGCTTGGTCCATTAGCTTTAGCTTCTTATTGGCTAACTCTTAATTTAACCCATCTCCATTAATCTGTGCATCACCACGAGGTCAGGGCCTACTAGCAAAGTTTCAATATGTCAGTTTCTGACAGTGGCTCCATGGCTTTTCCTTCACTCTGCCTCCTTTCTCCCAGCATTCTGTTTAGTTCCCCGCCCCACCCTGTCTACCGAAGTTCTACCCTACCAACAGGCCAAGGCAGTTTCTGTATTCACCAATAATATTCACAGCACACAGAGGGAAATCCCACATCATGAAGACAGAGAGATTTCCAGAAAGAGATTTTCTCTTATTTTTGGTTTTTCGAGACAGGGTTTCTCTGTAGCTTTGGTGTCTGTCCTGTAACTTCCTTTGTAGACCAGGCTGGCCTCAAGCTCACAGAGATTCTCCTGTCTCTGTGTTCTGAGTGCTAGGATTAAAGGCATGAACCACCACCCGGCCAGAAAGAATTTTTTAAAGACAAAGCAAGAGGAAAGTTTCCATTAGAAAGCATGTGTTTCTTTCTTATTCCCCTCATATAGAAAAAGTCTAGCCCTTGCTGCATTTGTGGATTTTTTTTTTTTTGCACACCCTGGGCTGTTGGAGGCTGGTCCTCTAGGTAGCAGTATAAAAGAAAATGCAAAGTCGGGTTTCTAAATTATAATGCTTTCATGTATAAAGAACTACTTTTGAACATAATGTGTCCAGCATTATTCTCTACAAAGCATATCTACCTGTGAGGCAGGCAAACCTCAAAAAGCTTCTGTTTACAGGAAAGAAACAACTAAACAATGCATTGCTTTTACAAAGATAAGGTGAGACAATAAAATTAGAAGTATGGGGTGAATGTCTTCTCTAAGAACAACAGAGAAATCTCCTGAGATCTCAAGTTGGGATCCGAATGTTTACACAGAGAGAGAAGCATTTGAAGGAGAAGGTAAGGCAAAGTCTTTAGCATGATAGCAATGGATGAGACTGAGGGACAGAAAGCCAGCATAAACAGAGCAGAGAGAGTAAGTGTAGACTGGAGAGCTAGGATTAGAGTCAGGCAAAGCTTTTGGAGGTCAGAATAAGAACTTGTTTTTTAATAAAGATGTACTGGGAAATGCAGAACTTGAAAGGAGGGAAAATCTGAATGGTATTTTAAAAACACCTGCTGCTTTATGAAGAACAGAGGGAATAAGAGGTTGCAGCAAGAAAGCAATTCTAAGAGAAACTGTACTGTTTTATCTAAGGCTCATACTGAAAATAAAACCCATTATTTATTTGCATTTCCCTTAAGTTTCTCTGTAAAATACAATGTCAAAATATCACTAAAGTTCACAAATTTTACGATTTGTAATCTTAGACTGACCTAGTCATTTCATTTTAAAATTACTAATTTCTAATTTTGAATTCAATTGAATCCTTCAAAATAAAGTACTTGAAAGCATTAAACTAAGTGATTTGAATCACGTGACCTTTTGAATTAAGCTTCATTTATCTGATCAATGAGTCAAGAGGAATATGAACACAAGTAAAGCAAAGTACTAACAGTCTGTACTACCTATAAAGGAACTGCAAATTACAGAAGACTAAAAAGGCTTATAAATGATGTCCAAGTTTCCATTGAACAATTACCTATATTAATTGGTTAAAAAATGGCAGACTGGCAAAGGAAACAGAATGCACAATAGAACTTAGAACATTAAAAGCAAAACATAATAAAACAAAGAAAAAAATCCCTAACAACTAGAAACTAGAAACCAGAAAGGAATGTAGGATTTTCTTTGCTTCTGTGCATCAATTTTTATAACCTAATCAATAAAGGGAAATCCTAGAGGAATAAATATAGGTAATATCTTACACAAAACAATGCTCAAATACATGCTTTATCACTACAAAATTATCTTGCTCAATTTTGAAAATTTGCATTTTTTTAAAGAAAGAATGTATTATTTATCAGCATTACAAAATGTCATACTCAAAATGGATAGCATTTAATTGGTATCTACTAAAGGATATTATCTAGAACAGGGTCGAGTACAGCATTTTACAAGAGCTGGACAAACATCCTGGGTTTTATGAGTACAGCATGCTGTCTTTTGCAGACCATAAGCTCTGATACTGCAGAGTGAGAGCAGGACCCATAAAAACGTAAAAAAAATTGGCCACAGCTGAGTTACTACAAAGCTTTACCAACAGATATAAAAATCTAACTTTTTATAATTTTCATGTCCTGCAAAACTGTGATTTTTTTTTCTATACAGGGAAAAATGTAGGGCTGGGGCTAGAACTCAAGAATAGTGCTTGACTCACAAACATGAGGCCCTGATTTTAAACTTCAACATTGGAAAAAGAAAAAAAAAAAAAAGCAACAACTTAATCTCATTCTTATATTAGTTTCATAGTGCATGGTTTACATATGGCTCGTAGCTGCAAATTAAAATGTATTTCTTTCATTTTTAAACCAAGTATATTTTATTTAATTTTTAGATATGGATCCCCTGGCTGTCCAAGAACCTGCTATGCAGACCAGGCTTGCCTCACAGAGACCTGTCTGCCTCTGTCTCCAAAGTTTTGGGATTAGAAGGTGTGTGCCACCATGTTGGGCCAAAGATTTTTTTAAAAATATGTAATCCCTTTCAAATGAAAATGTTATTCTTAATTATTAAAACATACACTTCTAGTATGTAAGGTAACTAAAAATTAAGAAATTAAAAAGGTCTTCATCACCTTTTACTCATTAACCTAAAGGGAAAAGAAATAGGACAGTTAAGCGTAAACCTAAGTATCTTTAAATCTACATACCACAGATGCTCCTCTACCCGTCTGTGTACTTCCCAGCCATGGCATATTGATTGGAGTGCCAGGGTTGCTGTGTGTATATGGAGTTGAACCTTGGACAGCTGTTAAATCATCACGAGCATGTATCACCAAGAAATCTTCTGATCTACAAAGAAACATCAACTAGAATGAAAACATCAGTTCTTCATTTTTTTCTCCCTGGAGTCTGTCCTGGAACTTGCTCTATAAATCAGTCTGGCCTCAAACTCAGAGATTCACCTGCATCTACTTCCTGAGCGCTGGGATTAAAGGTGTGCATCACCACCTGGCTCTTTGTTTTTTTTTTTTTTTTTTTTTTTTTTTTTTTTTTTTTT